CTCAGATACAGAAATGGAAGCGGTTCCATGGGTTTAAACACATTTGCCAAGGATAAAAGTAGAATAAACCGATTTTTTCTCACCCCACCAGTAAAGTTGGGGAAACTTAGAACGCTGGTCCCAGCACGCCCTCGTGTGGTGGGACCAGGTATGGCAAGCATCTTCTGAACTATTCATAAATGAGGAATCTAAAAGAAAAAGTATGAAAAGTATTAAAAAGAGAGCCGAACGCTTGCAGTAACATCCTTTTTTTTTAAATTTCTAAATTTTGCAAAGCTTCTCTCTCCCCCCTCCCTCCCCCGTGCCAAGAGAGGCCCTCTTGTGGCCGAGCTGGGCATTGCAAGAAGAAAAGGCAAGGAAAATTACCTTTAAAAGGAGTGCAATTTTTTATTTATTAGTGAATTCACTATTCAGTGATTTAAGGGCAACTTTGACTTGGAAATCTACAATACAGGGAAGGAGAAAAAAGAAGCGAGCAGTAAATGGCTCCCTCTGGTGGCTGCAAACGGTTTTCTCACTGTGAAAAGAAATGCTGCCCTCTGGTGGCAAAAGTTGGGTACGTGGACAACAGGTAGTTTTAAAAAAACGAAGGAACTCCGTTAAGTAGCCAAGTTAAACAAGAAACGAGGCCCAAACATGTGTAAAAAAAAACACACTTTATACTTTTATATTTTTAATACAGCCCGTAACGGCAATTTTGTGACTTTAAACACAACGCACACCTAAAACAACGTTGTGTGAAATGAAGACAAAGGGATTTCTGAAAAGGGAGCGGCTGGCTCAGCTTTCTAGCCAGCTGCTCTCTCGGAGAAGAGCAACAATTAAGAGAATTAAGAGGCTTGGGATATGCTGAGGCCATCTAGTCCAACCCCTGGTTTAATGCCAGTTCAACCCCTTGCAAGGCTGGGTCGTGTGCGAAACATCCATCATTCGGCTGCAACACCACAATTCTGGGATTCTCCTCAAATGTGGGGGGGCTGCCCCACCAATGATGGGGTGCGGACAATTCCAAAGCAGATATGGGTCGAATGAAAAACCGGATGGAATTGCATTGCTTCTATCATCAACCGATTCCTGCTATACCACCGTCGGCGTCAAGGTGGCAGTGACACCCAGGGCGGCAGAGCTCCCTCTGGTGGCCGTTGCCTGCATTGAGCGCACAGGTACTCCTCAACTTAATGCCTCTCGTTGAGCCGGGGATGTAATGGAGGAGATTGTTGTGCCTGGTTTTAGGACTTTCCTTACCCGCGGTCGTTAAGTGAATCATGCCCTTAAGCGAATCGGGCCCCATGTCCTGAATCTATTGACTTCGCAGGGGATCATGTGACCCCTGCAACTGTCCTTCTTGCCAAGTGTCCTAATTCTAATCATGTCACCTTGGGGAGGCTGTGCCGGTCGTAAGTGCGAGGATTGGCCCCAAGTCTCTTTTTTAAAGCACCATCATAACATTGAACGGTTGCTAAGTGAGTGGACGTACGTCAAGGACCGCCTACGTCAAAGTGTAGACCCTGTGGGCAGAAGTCACTTCTTAGCCTCTCCGTCATGAGGGATGAAGGTTAACCTCCATTTACAGAGATGGTTGGCCCTCCTGCCCTCCGCGAGGACATCTATACCACCCCCAGTCCTTCTCGGCCAAGCGCCCCCCATTCAGGGCAGAAGAGAATCCAGCGGGACGTCGCACTCCCCCAACACGACGTCGCGCCGCAGGCTGCACGATTTGTTCAGCACTTTCATCCTCAGGCTGCGCCGCGGGAGCTCCTCCGGGGACACCCCGTCGAAGAAGAAGTCCTCGTTGAAGATGGGGTTGCGGGTCCTCTTGATGATGGCGCTGCGCTGCCTTTGACCCGGGCCGGGGCGCAGCTGCAGGACCACGCAGCAGTGGATGTGGCGAAGGCTGCCCTGCGGCGAGTAGAAGCCTTCCGCGCTCACCAGCCGCACCCGTAGGCTGCCCGGCGGCTGGAGGTACTCGCTGGAAAGGCGCAGCTGCCCGCCTTGGCTGACCGTCAAGGTGACCTCTTTGGTCAGCCGCTGGCGGCAGCGCATCAAGTCCAGGGGGAACAGCGGCGACAGGGACCAAGCGCTCGGCGAGATCCAGGGAGGGTCGGCCTCGCGGCGCAAGCAGCAGGGACTGGTGTCGGTGGAGCTGGTGTCCTCTGTGGAGTGAGAGCTGGGGCGCAGCATGTGAGGGGAGCGGCATGCCAAACGCCGCCGGTGCCCGTAGCCATGGCAAGGCGGAAGCCCACCGAGAGGACGTGTGGGCACGGGGGAATTATACGGGGAGTTTTCTGCAGAAGAAGCGGTGTCACTATCCAGGCCTGGAGTGGGCTGCGAAAAGGGCCTTGTCCGTGGGGAGGAGAAGCAGCCGGCTTGCGCTCGGTGGGGCAGGGGTCTGCTGTGGAATAGCGATTCCCGCCGCCAGGTGTTGGGGCTTTCGGGCAGGCACCCCAAGTCCATCGGGGTCGGCAGGTGGATCATAGTGGGAGCGCCTGGGAGTCGTGCTCCGGCCCGGTGTCTCTCCTGCACTGTGACGGCCTCGTTTTTGACCGGGGAGGTCTGTGCCTCGCTCGGCCTGGGGCTCCCAGCCCCACGCCGGCCTTGGAGGGTGGCGAGGTTGGGCGGGATGAAAAAGGAGGGGATGGTTTCGGGGGTCAGCACGTTGGGGCACGCGGGTCGGGCGCCGCGCGTCTTTCTCTTGGAAAACATCTCAGATCGGGCCGGGGGAGCAAAAACCGCAAGCTCGCCCGGAGACGAAAGGAGCCATCGGGACGAATCACGTCGACCTGGGAGGAAATCGAAGGAAAAGCAGTTAGAACCAATCGGACCCATCGCTCCGCCTGCAACCTCCAATCAAGCCCGCTTCCTTCAACCAGCTTCCGCCACCTTGAAAAGTTTTCAGACCTCACGAGGACTAGTGGCTTGTCTCGGAAGCAATGGGTCTTTTGATGTGTTTATAGCTAAGCTTGGCTGGTTTGCATCCATTTCTTTTTAAAAAAATGTGATTTCAGACTTGTGGACAAATCGATAAATAAGTAAACACACTCAAAAGCAGCCACAAAATCAGCCGAAAAACCTTGGGCAGGTGACCCCCAAAAAACAACACCCCCAGGAAGGTACAAGTCCCGGTTAATTCCTCGAAGGGGAGCCCCCTTCCCCGCCGATGTAGTTTTTGGCAGCGGGAAGAAGACAATCAATTGAAACCCGGAGAACTTGCTGGAAACAAAAACCCCCCTCTCCTGCCTCTCCTCCCTGTCACGGTTCCTGGGATTTTACAACGGAGACAAAACCTCCTATGTTTGGCAGAAGGGGAGACAAAAAAGGCCCCAAATGGGTTTTCCCAGCCTCCTTTCCGCTTGGGAAAGAGTGCCAAGAGGTGATTTGCGCGCCCGCCGCAAAGCCACTGAGTTCGTGAATGTGGCCGCCTGCCCAGGTGTAGCTTCGAAACAGGTGTTGACGGGGGATTAAATCCCGTCGTCGGGGAAATGTCAGGAGGCGTGGAAGACCAGGCACGACTAATCCCCAGCGAACAACTGGCAAGTGTGTGTGCGTGTCTGTGCGTGTCTGTGCGTGTCTGTGAGACCCACCCACGCTTCCCCACCTCTTCTTTCCTCGCTCGCCCTCCCCTCCAAACCTGCTGACCCATTTGGCAGCAGGAGAGCGGGGCCTCTAAGCATGCGCAGAGTGTAAAAGGAAACCAAGAGGGTCAGGGAGATGCTTTGGGTGGGAGATTTCGGGGAGCGGGAAATATCAAAGCTTTTAAGCTTCATAGTTTACGCTATTTCCACGCCGGAGGTGAGAACGGCGTAGCGCAAATGTCAAATATATCCGGAGGAAGAAGCTTTGGGGCAGGAGAAAAACTGGGAAAAAAAGTTAAGGAAGATTGTGAAAGTTGTGTTGTTTTTCCCCCCTCCCACACCCCCAACCCGTTATCCTTGCAAAACCATACAAAGGGGACGAAAATACAGATTTCTCCCCGCAAGGATAATGGAAGGGGGGGGGGCCCTTGTACCTGCTGGTACGAGAAACTGTGCACCCCTCTGCTTTCCAAATGCCCCATCCCTCTTAGAACCCCCCAATTACCTGGGCATCCTTTCTCCTCCTCCTCCTCCTCTCTTCCTTCATCCCTTTCCAACCTGCCTGCGTGGCCCTCCGACACTCCGACTGGCACGACGCAGACTTTCCATGTTGTTGTTTATCATCTGGAGCGTTGCGACGTCACCGCGGGTTGTTGCTTCAGCTGCAAATGAAGCGGGTCTCGTTTGGGGACTCAAAAAACAACCCACCACATTCCCACAGGTCAAAGTTCAACGTTTTGTCGGTCGGGAAAGCATCCCGGCTCAAAACTGAGCCGCCATCCGATCGGAAGCGGGCTTTGGGATTTGGACGCCGTCGAGCCAGCCTCCCGACGTCTCCATCTGCAAAAAGCTTTTCCTCCTGCCGTTGGCAAGCTGCCCCCTCTCCGATCAGGTTTGGCACACAGAGCCAGAACAAAGGGGCCATTCTTTGAAGCCCGGAGAAATGTTTGCACACCGTGCCAGGCCAAGGAAACATGGACCGCCTCCCTGCCGCGAGGTGTGCCCGTTGTTGCAATCCTCCAGGCCGACGGTTGATTGACTGGCCCTCTCTCGTTCGGCCCGCGTGGTGTTTTCTTTTTAATTAACCCATCATTGTTTGTGNGATAGATAGATAGATAGATAGATAGATAGATAGATAGATAGATAGATAGATAGATAGATAGATAGATAGATAGATAGATATAGATAGATAGATATGAGAGAGGGAGAGATATAGATAGAGAGATAGATAGATAGATAGAGAGAGAGAGAGAGAGAGATATGAGGGAGAGGGAGAGATAGCTATAGATAGATAGATGATAGATAGATAGATATAGATAGATAGATATGAGAGAGGGAGAGATATAGATAGATAGAGAGAGAGAGAGAGAGAGAGATAGATAGATAGATAGATATGAGAGAGGGAGAAATATAGATAGATAGAGAGAGAGAGAGAGAGAGGGAGAGGGAGAGATAGCGATAGATAGATAGATAGATAGATAGATAGATAGATAATACATGTATGAGAATAGATAGATAGGTAGGTAGGTAGGTAGATAGATAGATAAATAAAGAGAGAGAGAGAGGGAGAGAGAGGGGGGGTAATGGTGTGTGTGTGTGTCAGAGAGAGAGCGCACGCACACGTGTGCTTGCAAAAATGCCCCTGCGGTCCTTGGTACTTGCAGAGAAGGCCTGGTTGTGTGTGTGTGTGTGTGTGTGTGTGTGTGTGTGAGTGTGATTGTGTGTGTGTATTAAAAGGGGGCAGAGACAGATGTGCAAAAACCCCACTCAGGCTCTCGAAAGAAGGCGTGACCCATGTACGTGTGATTGTGTGTGTAATAAAAAAAAGAGAGAGAGAGAGAGAGAGAGAAGTTGCCTTCCAAGTGAGCTCCCTGAGCCAGGACCAGTCTACCAGACTCTGGAAGGAGATGCCCGAGTACAGAACTCCTCCTCCCAGGGACAGGCAGGGGATGATGGGTGGCTGCTTCCCAGCCCTCCCAAACGGGGCGCCAGTCAACCCTGCCCGGGAAGGAAGGAGGGGCGGCACCACCCCCCACAGGCTTCTCCCCTCCCCCACCCTTTCGGCTGGGCACACCCTCACCAGGGATAATTATTGTTTACGTGCTCCGCTGGCTGGGGCACATGGATCCTCACCCTGGGGCTGCTGCGGTTCAGGCCGTCGGAGGGGTGGTGGTGTGTAGTGTGCAGTGGCATCTCACCTGTGCCAGGTGCCAAACCGCCTTCCCCCCCCCCCCCGAATGCCAACCTGGGGATCCTCCCCCGCCCCGCAGAGGCTGATGGGGTTTATCGAATCTCTACTCGCTGGGCAGGCAGCAACTCCAACCGGAAGATTGGAAATCTCAAATTCTGGTTTGTGGAAAGGGGGCCAAGAGGTGATGCCACCACAATTGCAAAATAAACGCACCCATTCACTGGGTTTAGCTCGGCCTCTCCATCCAGAGTAGATTTGCTTACGAAACAANCACACACACACACACACAAAAGTTGGGGGGGGGGAATTGAGCAGAAGTTGACTGGGAAATGATTTGGGGATTCCCCTTGCCCATTGCAAGGGGAGGAGGATCCCTGTCCAGCCACATGGGATTGTTAGTCCTGCCTTAAGCAGGACAAGGTTTTAGTAGAGGTTTCTGAGATGAATCCAAGTGGTCTTGTGTCCCCCCCCCACTGCCCCCACAAGGCCCAGACCTCGTCCCTGCCCGGCTCCCATAATCCTCACCCAACGGGCCCCAGGACGATGGGAATTGGTGGCCCAGCCTAGCCAAAAGCAGGAAGCTTAAAGGAAGCTGCTCTGTGGATGTGAAATGGGGAAGGGGGAGGGAAATACCTCCCACTATCCTTGCCCCCTCCTCTTGCAAATGGGGCAACACCCCCCCCCCCATGGGGGTAGAAGGCAGCCTCAGAGCCCCCCACCCAAACTTCTCCACGCCTGGGCTGTGCAAGGCAGAAAGTTTTTAAAAAGACCCCCTCCCTTAATAAAAGCAGAAAAGAGCCCCCCTCCCGAACAATGGGGGGGGGTGTAGACAATGAAGGTGACCCCAGAATTAGAGGGGGGGGTCGAGAATCCTCTCCCCACCGCTTCCCAAGTCCGCACTACCCCACGGCCCATGCGGCGCAGCCAGAGCCCTTGGGATGGCGGGAGAGCCTTACCTGGGGAATGGGCGCCCCGGCCGCCCCACCCTCGCGCAAATTCAACCGGTGAAGCTCGCTTCCACGCTCCGCCCATCCGCCGGGCCCTATTCTTCTGGGATGATGGGCTTTGTGGTGCAGCCCGATGAAGGGGAGATTTCCCCACCCCCCCACAGAGACCCCCTCCCTTCCTTGAAGTGGTCATCCCACCGGTGAAGCTTAAGGGGGGGCGTAAAGGGGGCGCCGCGCCCGCTTCCCCCTGCGCGCAGCAGCCGGCTATTCGCCCGGGGAAGCTGTCCTTCCTATCCTCGGAAAACAAGTGATTCTCTCCCCTTACCTGTGGCATGCCTGCCTGCCTGCCTGCCTTCCTCTCCCCTGGCTGCTCCTGCTTCGCTCTGCGGAGGCGTGGCGAGGCCGGCAGAATCTCCCCAGGTGAGGCTGGAGAGGCGCTCACCTGGGCAAGCTCGGGCTTCACCCGACGAACTCCCGCCTGGCAAACGGGGCTGCCGAATAGTCCTGAATCAATCCCGGTTCATCCTAATTGGAGAGGCGGGCGGGGGTCCCGCGGGGCAGAGAGAGAGACCCCACCCCCACCGCCCCCTTTGCCAGGCAGCCAGGGCACCGGGGCAGCCGCGCCCCCCCTCCTCTCGGGCTCCCTCCGACAGCGCTCAGATTGGCCGCGGCTGCAGCAGCCGCCCAGCTGCCTTACACAACTCGGCGCCGCTGGATCGGGGCCAGCCCCCCCCCTTTCCCTTCCCTTGGCTTCCCCCTCC